GGTGACATGTACATTGTGTGGCCTCTTGAGGCAGGACAAAGTGTCGTGGGGTCGAATCCTGGCTTGCTGCAGTTTGGTAAATGATTCAAAACCACTTGTTTCATGGCTTCATTGCTATATAGACTGCTTGTGGAGGTGGGTATTCAAACAGGAGGAGGCTGAAATTAATCCTTGCCATGAGTGTCCTTGCAACATTAAACAAGCCTAGTTTGCTAGACTCATGTTGTTTGTAGGATTGATGGCTCAGTTGGTAAGGTGATATGCACATTGTGTGGCCTCTTGAGGTGGGACAGTGTGTTGTGGAGTCGAATTCTGGCCTGCTGCATTTTGGTAAATATATCTACTTTTATATAGATGCACAGAAAGTATTGGCAATTATTTTTTTTTTTTTTTTTTTTTTTTTTTTTTTTTTTTTTTTTTTTTTTATTATCACACCGGCCGATTCCCACCAAGGCAGGGTGGCCCGAAAAAAAAAACTTTCACCATCATTCACTCATTCACGTCTTGCCAAAAGGGGTGCTTTACACTACAGTTTTTAAACTGCAACATTAACACCCCTCCTTCAGAGTGCAGGCACTGTACTTCCCATCTCCAGGACTCAAGTCCGGGCCCTTTCCGTTTCCCTGAATCCCTTCATAAATGTTACTTTGCTCACACTCCAACAGCACGTCAAGTATTAAAAACCATTTGTCCTCCATTCACTCCTATCAAACACGCTCAAGCATGCCTGCTGGAAGTCCAAGCCCCCGCACACAAACCTCCTTTACCCCCCTCCCCAACCCTTCCTAGGCCGACCCCTACCCCGCCTTCCTTCCACTACAGATGATACACTCTTGAAGTCATTCTGTTTCGCTCCATTCTCTCTACATGCCCAAAACCACCTCAACAACCCTTCCCTCAGCCCTCGGGGACAACAGTTTTGGTAATCCCGCACCTCCTCCTAATTTCCCAAAACTACGAATTCTCTGCATTATATTCACACCACACATTGCCCTCAGACATGACATCTCCACTGCCTCCAGCCTTCTCCTCGCTGCAACATTCATCACCCACGCTTCACACCCCATATAAGAGCGTTGGTAAAAACTATACTCTCATACATTCCCCTCTTTGCCTCCAAGGACAAAGTTCTTTGTCTCCACAGACTCCTAAGTGCACCACTCACTCTTTTTCCTCATCAATTCTATGATTCACCTCATCTTTCATAGCCCATCCGCTGACACGTCCACTCCCAAATATCTGAATACGTTCACCTCCCCCATACTCTCTCCCTCCAATCTGATATTCAATCTTTCATCACCTAATCTTTTTGTTATCCTCATAACCTTACTCTTTCCTGTATTCACCTTTAATTTTCTTCTTTTGCACACCCTACCAAATTCTTTCCACCAATCTCTGCAACTTCTCTTCAGAATCTCCCAAGAGCACAGTGTCATCACAAAGAGCAGCTGTGACAACTCCCACTTTGTGTGTGATTCTTTATCTTTTAACTCCCCCGCCTCTTGCCAAGACCCCCATTTACTTCTCTTACAACCCCATCTATAAATAAAATTAACAACCACGGTGACATCACACATCCTTGTCTAAGGCCTACTTTTACTGGGAAAAAATTTCCCTCCTTTCCTACATACTCTAACTTGACCCTCACTATCCTCGTTAAAAACTCTTCACTGCTTTCAGTAACCTACCTCCTACACCATACATTGCAACATCTGCCACATTGCCCCCCTATCCACCCTGTCATACGCCTTTTCCAAATCCATAAAAGCCACAAAGACCTCTTTGCCTTATCTAAATACTGTTCACTTATATGTTTCACTGTAAACCCCCTGGTCCACACACCCCCTACCTTTCCTAAGCCCCTTGTTCATCTGCTATCCTATTCTCCGTCTTACCTCTTAATTCTTTCAATTATAACTCTACCATACACTTTACCAGGTACACTCAACAGACCCTTTTCCCCCTATAATTTTTGCACTCTCTTTTTTCCCCTTTGCCTTTATACAAAGAACTATGCATGCTCTCTGCCAATCCTAGGTAAACCTGTACCCTCTTCCATACATTTATTAAACAATTGCACCAAACCCCTCCAAAAAATATATCCCCAACCCGCTTTTAAACATTTTATCTTTATCCCCATCAATCCCGGCTGCTTTAACCCCCTTTCATTTTACCTACTGCCTCACGAACTTCCCCCACATCACAACTGGCTCTTCCTCACTCCTACAAGATGTTATTCCTCCTTGCCCTATAACGAAATCACAGCTTCCCAAACTTCATCAACATTTAACAATTCCTCAAAATATTCCTTCCATCTTCCCAATACCTCTAACTCTCCATTAATAACTCTCCTCTCCTTTTTTTAAACTGACAAATCCATTTGTTTCAAAGGCTTTCTTAACTTGTTAATCTCACTCCAAAACTTTTTTTTTATTTTCAACAAAATTTGTTGATAACATCTCACCCACTCTTCATTTGCTCTCTTTTTTACATTGCTTCACCACTCTCTTAACCTCTCTCTTTTTCTCCATATACTCTTCCCTCCTTGCATCACTTCTACTTTGTAAAAACTTCTCATATGCTAACTTTTTCTCCCTTACTACTCTCTTTACATCATCATTCCACCAATCGCTCCTCTTCCCCTGCACCCACTTTCCTGTAACCACAAACTTCTGCTGAACACTCTAACACTACATTTTTAAACCTACCCCATACCTCTTCGACCCCATTGCCTATGCTCTCATTAGCCCATCTATCCTCCAATAGCTGTTTATATCTTACCCTAACTGCCTCCTCTTTTAGTTTATAAACCTTCACCTCTCTCTTCCCTGATGCTTCTATTCTCCTTGTATCCCATCTATCTTTTACTCTCAGTGTAGCTACAACTAGAAAGTGATCTGATATATCTGTGGCCCCTCTATAAACATGTACATCCTGAAGTCTACTCAACAGTCTTTTATCTACCAATACATAATCCAACAAACTACTGTCATTTCGCCCTACATCATATCGTGTATACTTATTTATCCTCTTTTTCTTAAAATATGTATTACCTATAACTAAACCCCTTTCTATAACAAAGTTCAATCAAAGGGCTCCCATTATCATTTACACCTGGCACCCCAAACTTACCTACCACACCCTCTCTAAAAGTTTCTCCTACTTTAGCATTCAAGTCCCCTACCACAATTACTCTCTCACTTGGTTCAAAGGCTCCTATACATTCACTTAACATCTCCCAAAATCTCTCTCTCTCCTCTGCATTCCTCTCTTCTCCAGTGCATACACGCTTATTATGACCCACTTCTCGCATCCAACCTTTACTTTAATCCACATAATTCTTGAATTTACACATTCATATTCTCTTTTCTCCTTCCATAACTGATCATTTAAACATTACGCTACCCCTTCCTTTGCTCTAACTCTCTCAGATACTCCAGATTTAATCCCATTTATTTCCCCCCACTGAAACTCTCCTACCCCCTTCAGCTTTGTTTCGCTTAGGGCCAGGACATCCAACTTCTTTTCATTCATAACATCAGCAATCATCTGTTTCTTGTCATCCGCACTACATCCACGCACATTTAAGCAACCCAGTTTTATAAAGTTTTTCTTCTTCTCTTTTTTAGTAATTGTATACAGGAGAAGGGGTTACTAGCCCATTGCTCCCGGCATTTTAGTCGCCTCATACGACACGCATGGCTTACGGAGGAAAGATTCTTTTCCACTTCCCCATGGACAATAGAAGAAATAAAAAAGAACAGAGCTATTTAGAAAAAGGAGAAAAACCTAGATGTATGTATATATATATATGCATGTGCGTGTCTGTGAAGTGTGACCAAAGTGTTAGTAGGAGTAGCAAGATATCCCTGTTATCTTAGCGTGTTTATGAGACAGAAAAAGAAACCAGCAATCCTACCATCATGCAAAACAATTACAGGTTTTTGTTTCACAGTCATCTGGCAGGACGGTAGTACTTCCCTGGGTGGTTGCTGTCTACCAACCTACTACCATGCACAGAAAGTACTGGCAATAAATTTTGTCAACCAGTCACCATTGTTGTTATAAGCTGCACTAATTCATTCATGAAAATAGTCTTTATTCTTCTGTGTACTATGTCTGAGTTGCCAGATATTATTTCTGTCCAAGGATTGTATAGGAACTTTTTTTCTGCAACTGTACATGCTGCAAAGTTTGAGCTCTGGAATGTAACCCTATTTTTTTCTATATGTTCTTCACATTAATTACTTTAAGGCACATATTTTTAGGAATATATCCTTGTCTATACAAGAGTTCATTGTACAGTAGCTATACCCATTCTATAGTGCAATGGTTAATATCCAGAGATCAACAGGGTGTAATGAATTTATTCAAAATTATTTGATTATCAGTGTGAGTGAGGCACAGGAGACTTCCCAAAAGCATTTGTTGATGGTGTGGGGATGGGGGTCAGTGGGGAGGAGTTGTGCTTATAAATGCTCTCGATCTATATGTCTAACTTGAGTCAGAAGGGAAAAATTCTGTGGAACGTAGTACATAAATTTTTCAAGTGACTTGTTCCTATAGAAACCTTGGTATGTAGTACTAAGTATTTTGCTCACTAGGTGATTTGTTTGTTTGAATTTATATACTACATCACATAATATCAAGGGCTTCAGCTGTAAAAAATTTTAGTTGTACTTTTTGAACCATGTTGTAAGAAAATCTCACAATGTGAAATCACATTATGAGAAGCTTTACTGCAGTTTGGCATTACAAAGACATTATTGAAGTTTAGTTAAAATTTACACAAATAACCCGCACATAAAAGAGAGAAGCTTACGACGACGTTTCGGTCCGACTTGGACCATTGACAAAGTCAATGTGTGACTTTGTCAATGGTCCAAGTCGGACCGAAACGTCGTCGTAAGCTTCTCTCTTTTATGTGCGGGTTATTTGTGTATTGTTCCAGTCACGGTATTGTGCCTTTTTGTTATTTAGTTAAAATTTGTTTTAGTAATAAATTACTTTATCTTACTGACCCTTGACAGGTGTCAAAAGTGATCGTCCTTGCCACGTGGATTATGTGCCTTCGATACTTGAGTATGTGTCATCATCCAAGAGAATGAAACAAGAGTGTCATATCAAGAATTTTGAAAAGAGGCAAGCCATGAAAAAGAAGAGAATAGACAAGGAGAAAATTAATGCTGATTGTATGTTCTACAGTCTTGATCTTGTTGATATATATTTACAGAAAAACATGTTAATATTTTATATTAACACTGTGATATTATTGGTAGAGTATACAGTAGCTGATGTATTTATTTTATTCTATAAATTTATCAACACTTGAGATATTCAAAATACAGTAATAAATGGTTAAATACATATATGACAGTGTCCCCCTAGCAATGATTGATGTACATCTTTTTGTCCCTTAAGTGCCTAGGCATGCTAGTGGCTTTCTTTGTAATTAATTGTAAGCTTTGCAAGGAAATAGACATTTTCATTTCATTTTCATTTCATATTGTGGCATCATTCACCCAGCCATCTCAGAAATGCTTCAGACTGTATGTGTAATAAAGTTGGTAGACTTACCAACAATATGTAAAGTAAAAGGACACAAGTGCAACTAATGTGACATTTTATTGTGGCAACGTTTCACTCTCCAGGACCTTTGTCAAATGAGTGTAAAACGGAAGCCTGTAATTGTTTTACATGATGGTAAGATTGCTGGTGTCTTTTCTCTGTCTCATAAACATGCAAGATTTCAGGTACGTCTTGCTACTTCTACTTACTCTAAGGTCACACTGCATATGCATGTACAAGCATATATATACATACATACCCCTCTGATAACATTTCTGGTACATTTTTAAATGTTTATACAGCAGTGTACTGTGTATTGTAATAAAAAGAATAGAGGAAATCAGCTCTAATACACATTATTTAGGTATGCATACTGGTCAGAGAGCCTGTCGTAAGTCCGAGTCATCGGTTAACGAGTAGTACATCGCTAAGTGAGGAGAGGCTGTACTATAATCTCCCTAAGCATCTTAAAAGTAATTTTCATTTTTTTAACCTATGCCATCTCCCATGTGACTCACTCATACAGCCACTGTTTTGCCAGAAGTGTGCTGATATTACAGTTCAGATGGCCTTCTGAACTGCAACATCTTCACCCTTTCACCCCTCCAGAGTGCAGGGGTGAGGTAACAGTTATGAATCCCTTCATAACCATTACCTTACTCATACTTCAACAGTACATCTAGTTATGAAAAGCACTTTTTTATTCTGAATGTCCAAGCTCCTAGCACCACTGCAGATTTCCACAGTTGTTACTCCTTTGAACTCTACCTCTTTTAGTACTTGTTTCTTCCCTGTGGTTTAATGCTTAAAATTGTGTACACATGAAAGCCATGATAGTCCTGCTGTGGGAAATATAGCATAAAATTCTTGCAGAATTATGGGAAATAAAAAATTGAATGTAACTGCTATAAGAAATCTGAAAAATAATGAAAACTTTTATGGTATATTGAAGTTTGGTGAACTGAAGCCAGGTCATTGCTGTTAGCAAAAACATTCATGGCACAATTGTTTTTACACTCTTATTCCTGACCAATGTGGTCATTTTTCTTATTGTATTTAAATTTACACTATTTGCAAAAGTTTTGTACCATATTAGATGTGCTTCATGATGTAGTTGCCCATGAAAAATACAGTACATAATTTAATGCAGTGACACGCCACACATCTTACATTAGTACCTTGTCATTAAGACCTCGTTTTTTTTTTTTTTTTTTTTTTTTTTTTTTTTTTTGAGTATGTGACTGCACAAATAACACTTTTTTCTTAATTTCTGTAGCAGGAATAGGCTGAGGGAAGTGTCTACTAAATCTGAATTGAAATGTTCGTGCAGTCTAATGCTATGCCATGCAGTGGTGTACTAAATTTTCTTTTTTTGTGTGTGCTGCAGGTTGCATTGCACTAAGACTAATATTATATCTGTTGTTCTGTTATCCAAGTCATTATAGTAGTTCTCTAAATCTGTACTGTATAAGTTTGAGATGTTCCTGAGCTGTTGGTCCAGCAGGCTAGATCAACCGTTGTTGCTTAGATGTGCCTGGGACAGTAGTAGCTGGCACCTGTTGGTGCCACTTCTCAATATCATGTGCTACCTGATATTCACATTCACTTCTACTATCTGGGCCTAACTAGGTCATTGATTGAACCGAAGTTACATCTGTTTGCCCATGAAACTGTCATACTTTTAACAGGGGGAAGTGGGACTCTTAAATAATGAAACATGCTTATGCAAGCCAAGAAAATATTTTACATCGCTACCACTAGAATTAGCACATTTTAGCTTATAGGTATTAATCTTTGCTTCCTTCATCACCTACATAATTAGATAACATTTTTTTATAGAAGAATGGGCTTACTAGTGAGGTTGAGCGGTCAGTAATACTTGGCACTATATGGCTAATATTTGCATTTCTGCTTTTGGATGATTCCTTCTCGGAAATCCTTCAAAGTGTGCTAGTTAATATTTCTTTGCTCTTAAGTGTTTTATCCACCTTTCTTTGTTGGCTTCATCTAGTATTGTTTTGCATGAGTGCGTACTTGTTTGTTTTTGTGTGCGTGCACACATGCACATGTTTTTGTTTCTTTTGTTTGCTTTTGTTTACTTGAAGTATTAAGATAATGTTTATGTTTAAACAGGCACAACAAGTACTGCTGAAGTTGATTCATCCCAGGAAGATACTTCATCAATAAAGATAACTACTGAGAGGTAAATTTTATTAAGGATTCTTCAGCAGCATAATGGATTTAATTGGACATTATTAACTTAAGAGTAAAGTTTATTTCAGTAATAATATAGTTGATTTATTTGTCACATTTTTCATTGGTAAAGGGTAACTATATAAGCATTTCCCATTGGCAGCTGGACATTAATTTTGTCAGTAGTGTGTGATTTTCATAAAGCGATGCACTATATCATAGTTATTGCTAAAGCAAGGGAATCCATTCTCATTTTACCATGTTAATTTTCTTGTGCGACTCCCAATTAGTGACTTCCCTACATACAATTTTGTTTATTTTCCATTACGTGACCTAAATATATACAAATGTATATTTAACCACAAATAAGCAAACCCAGGCAACATTCAAGTCAGCAAACATATCACATGTGCTTCAGGACCATTAAGGTAATTAGACTATTTTAGTGTATAAATTTTATTTTAATTTTATTATATCCTTATGCTGACATAGAGAAGGTGGCCAATTACTCTTGTCACTTCAGTGATGCCTGACCCACATAAAATCTTGTGCTGGTAACAAGGCAGGTTGGTCACTTCTACTCTTATAATCTTTGGCACTGTTAACAAAATCAAAATTGTATTAACTTCAAAAGGGTTATATTCAGAATAAGTAGACAGTTATTATTCTGTTATGTTTATTTATTTCAGATGTAACATTATGAAAGGAAGGCAGGAAATGCAAGAAACTGCTCAGACAACAGAGCAACCAGATCTGCTACCTGTTTTGAAGGTAATGGTAAGAAAATTCTTTATCTCCCAGAATATGTAAACCTTGTGTGAGGCATTAAAATCTCTATTAGCTAATGCATTCTCACCAAAAGAGCTTTAATATTATGAAGTTGATGATACTCCTTAAAACTATGAAACCATTGTTGTGAATCTCTCTCTCCTTTCACAGTTTTATAATAAGTTAGGGCTTTGTGCCTTATCTTAATGGTAATGGGAGACCTTTTTTTTTAACCTCAAATCAGACATTAGGTGACTTTTCCATATTATTTAGGTGAGACCTCTTTGATATTATTTTGATCAGGAGACATCTCTGTACTTCTTAATATAAAAGCTCTTATTTTTTCTCATATTTTCTAATTGTACAAATAGTTGATATTTACCAACTCCACAACATGCCACCACACTCCACAACATGCCACTACACTCCACAACATACTACCATGCTCTACAACATGCAGTCATACTCTTCAGCAGGCCACCACACTACAGCAATCAGCAATATGTTACACTCTGCGAAACATGCCATCACAGTTTACAGACCTCCACAACATACCACTACACTACAACTATCCACAGCATACTACCACACTGTACAACTCTCCACAACATGCCATCACACTCTACAACATGCTGTCATGTTATGCAACTCACTACAACATGTCATCACATCCGACAACTCTCTACAACATGTTGTCACATCCTACAACTCTCTACAACATGTTACATCCTACAACTCTCTACAACATGTTGTCACATCCTACAACTCTCTACAACATGTCGTCACATCCTACAACTCTGTGTCATGTCATCACACTCTCCAACACTACAACATGCCACCACCCTCTACAATAGATCAACATTCTCTACAACATGCCACCTCCACAACAGGCAATCACTGTACAACCCTCTACAGTATGCTTTCACTCTCCACATTTGTAAATGCATTTGCTAGTTTGCCAAGATCAGTGCCTGAAGGTTCAGTAATGTGTATGAAAGCAGAAAATATGACAACTCCTACAGTATGGATGAAAGGCAAATGTGCACAGACTTGGATGTCTTCGTTGGATATGTTTCAGTCCTGGGACCTTGGAGTGACCAAGATCCCAGGACACAAAACCTATCTAATGAAGATGTCCTGAGTGTATGTACCCATGGTCTTTCATCCATCAGTAATATGTGTTTACAGGCTGTAGTACTGACAAATCTAGTGTTTAACTACTGTAGTCTCACTACCTCTTTCTCATTCCTTGTCTGTCAGTTTCACTATCTGTTGTCCTGATTACTAGTGTAATGTAATTATGGTAGCAGTAGAGCATGTGTGTGTGTGATAATGTACACTACAAGTTTTTCTGAGAACCTCTTAAAATTAGGGTGCTTCTAATATGATGGAAAAAAGTGCGTGTGTGGGTAGGTGTGTGGGGATGGTATGTGCACATACATACATACATACACACACACTGTTTAGTCATTTTACATTATGTACTTAACATCAGAGTATACATATGTTTCATATATTTTTATCACTCACAGGATGCTGATGTGTGGCAAAAGCAGGACAAGGGAATAGTCTTTAAGGAAGTGATGGATAGGCCAACAGAAAGTGTGATAAATACAGATTCACATGAAAATGTCATAAATAATAGCACTGGAAGGCCTTTATATCTGTTCATTGATGAGCCAAAAGTTGACTCAATGATAAAGCCTCCATGTGCCCTCACTGATGAGGAAAAAGTCAAATTTACCTTAAGGCTTTCACAAGTTTTCACCGATGAGCAAGAAGCTGAATTATTCAGGTGTTTTCAGAAGGTAGATATATTGTTTGGTGGAATTACAAGTACAGAAGCTTGCAGACTAGCTTATGACTTTGCAGCTAAATTTAATATTGAACCACATCCTGCATGGGATGTGAATAAAAAGGCAGATATTGAATGGTTGCAAGGATTTCTAAACAGACACCCAAGTATAACTGTTAAGAAAGGGGATTGGGCATCTAGTCATGTTGCTTTCACAAATTCAGCTGCAGATCATGTTCTAAAAGCAGTACCTAATTTGTTGACTGCAAAAATAATAGATGAAGAAAGCTCTAAGAGCAGTAGTGACAGCTTGCATTCTAAAGATAAACATCTCCTAACTGACCACAATTATGCTACAAAATGTATAGACCAACCACATGAGCAGCATAACATAAGACATGAATGGTTGTTTAGAAAAATATCAGCAGATGAGGCACAGGATAATTCCATGTTGAAGAGAATGACTTCTCTGAACAAGTGTATGCAAAACTGTGAAGACTTCCAGGGTGATTTTAATATTGGAGAAACAATATATATCATAGAAAACAAGAATGCTTTTGAAGAAAAGGAAAATACTTCATTATTTTCAAAAGAGAATGAATATGTGTGTGAAAATGAAGTGGATTTGGGCACAAATGAGGGAAATAATTTATGTATTAAAGAAGATTTGATTATAAAAGAAGAGGAAGATTGCTTATCAGAGAATGCAGATTATATGTCTGCAATGGATTATGCATAAAAAGTTTAATTCATGTTTTGTATTTTTTAGTTGAACTCAAAATGAATATCAGCATCAAGCCGAGCTGAAAGATTCATACCGATTTTGTTTTTGTGTATTGAGGTTTTGGATTTGACATGCACTACTGACCTACATCTTGTCAGTCATACTGGATATCAAGCTGCATTGGCAAATGAATGTAACTTACCTGTTAGGAAATTTTCTCAATGATTATTGTTTATTGATTATTGATTATGATAAGCCAGATCTGGCATTCCACGGGTTCTCCAAGAATTTAGAAGGATGAGAAGGATGCATATAAATGACCTCATAGGGGACAGGAGCCGTAGTGGGGAAACAAGTGTAGTCAAAGATAAGATAAAACCAATATTGCAAACTAGAAATACAACAGGAAATAGCAAACAAGAGGACTCCACTAGCAATAGTGAGGATATATTACCAAAAACAACTGGTGGGAGCTCCATTGTTGGTGCTAGGGAGGATAGGAATAAGACAGGTAAACATGCACCAACAGGGAATACAGTCACAGAAACCCAAGGCAAATGGAAACCAAGCCTGTGCACATACTATGCACTTGGTATCTGCAGACATGGAAAATTTGGAAAAACAGATGGGACGTGCAACTATGACCACCCTAGAAAATGCCGTGCCCATATGACAACAGGAAATGCAAAACTCCCTTCCTGTAAGCTTTTTCACCCTGAAATGTGTACCTCTTCAGTACAGGAAAGACTGTGCTATAACTTAAATTGCCAGGCACACCATCTAAAGGGGACAAAAAGATACAAAACATCCAGGCCATGGGAAAACCTGTGTAGCCACAGCCACTCAAGAGGGAGAGGTTTTTTAGTGCCAGGAAGGAAAAAAAACTGGCAGGAAATGGCAGAAATTGTACACCAAATCCAATCATTCCTGGAGTGGAACCACAGTCAATGGCCTCCACTCCAAACCAACAGATACAGATACTAATGCCGGAAAAAAAATCCCCCAGTACCAACAATACCACCAGTCCGATGACATTCTTCTTTGCAAATATACAGGGTCTAAAGCCAGCAACAAACAACAAAATACCTTTCATCCGTGGACTGCTTGCAGAGGCAAAGGCAAGTTCGCGGCTTTCACTGAGACCCACATAAAGGATCACTTGGACAACGAAATATGGATCCCAGGTTACAACCTATACAGATGTGACAGAGTGAACAGGCAAAAGGGGGGCGTTGGCCTGTACATTGCAGAGTCACTTGTTTGCACAGAACTGCTTAATGCCTCAAATGATGTAGTGGAAGTTTTAGCAGTAAAGATCGAGAACCAAAACCTAGTCATTGTGGTAGTCTACAAGCCTCCGGATGCAACATCCCAGCAATTCCAGGAACAGCTGTTAAAAATTGACCACTGTCTGGAAAATCTTCCAGCTCCTGCACCCAACATCTTGCTCCTGGGGGATTTCAACTTAAGGCACCTAAAATGGAGGAATATAGCAAATAATATTGTTGCAGTAATAACACCAGGAGGCAGCTCTGATGAAAACTCACACTCACACGAGCTTTTAAATCTCTGCACAAAATTCAATTTAAACCAGCAAATAATAGAGCCTACTAGAATGGAGAATACACTAGACCTCATCTTCACTAACAATGATGATCTGATAAGAAATGTCACCATATCAAAAACAATATACTCAGATCACAACATAATTGAGGGAGCATTCACCAAATTCAACTTCAATAACTAAAACATAAAGTGGGACCAAGTAAACCAAGTCCTAACCAATATAAGCTGGGAAGATATACTAAGCAACACAGACCCCAACTTATGCCTAGAACAGATTAACTTGGTGGCACTCGATGTATGCACAAGGCTTATTCCTCTAAGAAAAAGGAGGAGTAGATGTAAAATAGAAAGAGACAGGCGCTCCCTTTACAGGCGACGGAAAAGAATAACAGAGCGGCTAAAAGAGGTCAATCTATCTGAAATGCGTAGGGAGACACTGGTCAGAGAAATAGCAAACATCGAACTTAGGCTAAAGGAATCTTATAGGAGTCAGGAATCGCGGGAAGAACTAAAAGCCATAAATGAAATCGAAAGAACCCCAAAATATTTCTTCTCCTATGCCAAATCAAAGTCGAGAACAACGTCCAGTATTGGGCCCTTACTTAAACAAGATGGGTCCTACACAGATGACAGCAAGGAAATGAGTGAGCTACTCAAGTCCCAATATGACTCAGTTTTTAGCAAGCCACTAACCAGACTGAGAGTCAAAGATCAAAATGAATTTTTTATGAGAGAGCCACAGAATTTGGTTAACACAAGCCTATCTGATGTTATCCTGACGCCAAATGACTTCGAACAGGCGATAAATGACATGCCCATGCACTCTGCCCCAGAGCCAGACTCATGGAACTCCGTTTTCATCAAGAACTGCAAGAAGCCCCTATCACGAGCCTTTACCATCCTATGGAGAGGGGCATGGACACGGGGGTCGTCCCACAGTTACTAAAAAACAACAGACATAGCCCCACTCCACAAAGGGGGCAGTAAAGCAACAGCAAAGAACTACAGACCGATAGCACTAACGTCCCATATCATAAAAATCTTTGAAAGGGTCCTAAGAAGCAAGGTCAACACCCATCTAGAAACCCATCAGTTACACAACCCAGGGCAACATGGGTTTAGAACAGGTCGCTCCTGTCTGTCTCAACTATTGGATCACTACGACAAGGTCCTAGATGCACTAGAAGACAAAAAGAATGCAGATGTAATATATACAGACTTTGCAAAAGCCTTCGACAAGTGTGACCATGGCGTAATAGCGCACAAAATGCGTGCTAAAGGAATAACAGGAAAAGTCGGTCGATGGATCTATAATTTCCTCACTAACAGAACACAGAGAGTAGTAGTCAACAGAGTAAAGTCCGAGGCAGCCACGGTGAAAAGCTCTGTTCCACAAGGCACAGTACTTGCTCCCATCTTGTTCCTCATCCTCATATCTGACATAGACAAGGATGTCAGCCACAGCACCCTGTCTTCCCTTTTCAGATGACACCCGAATCTGCATGACAGTGTCTTCCATTGCAGACACTGCAAGGCTCCAGGCGGACATTAACCAAATCTTTCAGTGGGCTGCAGAAAACAATATGAAGTTCAACGATGAGAAATTTCAATTACTCAGATATGGTAAACACGAGGAAATTAAATCTTCATCAGAGTACAAAACAAATTCTGGCCACAAAATAGAGCGAAACACCAACGTCAAAGACCTGGGAGTGATCATGTCGGAGGATCTCACCTTCAAGGACCATAACATTGTATCAATCGCATCTGCTAGAAAAATGACAGGATGGATAATGAGAACCTTCAAAACGAGGGATGCCAAGCCCATGATGACACTCTTCAGGTCACTTGTTCTATCTAGGCTGGAATTTTGCTGCACACTAAGAGCACCTTACAAGGCAGGTGAAATTGCTGACCTAGAAAATGCACAGAGAACCTTCACGGCGAGCATAATGGAGATAAAACACCTCAATTACTGGGAGCGCTTGAGGTTCCTGAACCTGTATTCCCTGGAACGCAGGCGGGAGAGATACATGATTATATACACCTGGAAAATCCTAGAGGGACTAGTACTGAACTTGCACACGAAAATCACTCACTACGAAAGCAAAAGACTTGGCAGACGATGCAACAAAAAGCAGGGGTGTCACTAGCACGTTAAGAGACCATACAATAAGTGTCAGGGGCCGAGACTGTTCAACTGCCTCCCAGCATACATAAGGGGGATTACCAACAGACCCCTGGCAGTCTTCAAGCTGGCACTGGACAAGCACCTAAAGTCAGTTCCTGATCAGCCGGGCTGTGGCTCGTACGTTGGTTTGCGTGCAGCCAGCAGTAACAGCCTGGTTGATCAGGCTCTGATCCACCAGGAGGCCTGGTCACAGACCGGGCCGTGGGGGCGTTGACCCCCGGAACTCTCTCCAGGTAAACTCCAGGTATCCATACATACACTAGCCCACCTTTCTGCCAATAGTTGCTTATATCTCACCCTAACTTCTTCCTCCGTTAGTATATACACTTTCACCTCTCTTACTTCCTGTTGCTATATTCCTTTTGTCCCATCTACCTCTTACTCTAACTGTAGCTACAACTAAATAATAGTCGGATATATTCATTTCCCCTTTATAAACATGCACATCCTGAAGCCTACCCATCAACCTTTTATCCACCAATACATAATCTAATAAACTGCTTTCATTTACATACCTTGTACAGTATACTTATTTATTCTCTTTTTTATAAAATATGTATTACTTATTACTAAACCTCTTTCTACACATAGTTCAGTTAAAGGCTCCCCATTTTCATTTATCCCTGACACCCCAAATTTACCCACTACTCCCTCCACAACATTTTTATATAAAATTTTCTGTAAATGTTAAATAAGTTTATGATTATTACCAGCATTGCCACTCTCACCAGGAATCAAGCCGATGGTTATAAATGTACCATAATACAGTATCCCTGTGAAGAGGAATTCAAATCTTTATTTTGATAAATTGATATGTTAATATTTATAAGGTATTCACTGGTGGGGTACCTGGCAAGAAATTGGTTGAGTTGCCCAGTCCTAAAAGTAACTAAAAGAGTGTTGAAATTATTTTACCAGATAAAATATTTAAAATGAAACGTCAGCATTTTTATTTACCTTAGACATAATGAGATGGCAATCTGCAGCCTCAGATACTTGTCACTGATGCAGGCTTGTTGCCTAACCCTACCCCTCAAGGGACGTTCTAAGATGCCTTTGATATTGTTCATGGACTGAACCTGAATGTCTCCCATTCTCCAGGAACTGTATGACCCCTACCCTCAAAGGAGGTTTATGGATGCCAGTGAGGGAGCTCTTAACATCTTAACTGGAACCAACATACTAGTATGCAGGTGACAAGGATTTGTCTAAAGTACTAGTATGCACAATTTTTCATGCCTTCAGATATGCCACATGTCAATGTTTTTGACTTTTTCTGAACTGTTTGAGTCTTTTACAATCTCTTTATGCCTTTGAAAAAAATCCAAGGCTAGGCTGCTCCATGTAGTGCATAATCGGTATTACTGCCTAACTAGCATGAGTAAAGTATTAAACCAGGACTTGTTTTGCTTATCTACCACCAAATAGTGTGAAACTGGCAGGAAAATATCTTACGGATATCTTATTACATTTTCATGACAAAAACAGTAGAATTCAGCCCTAAAACACTTATGTAGTAGATTTAACCAAGGATAACCCAATAGTCTTTAGACTATAGTCTTTCTCCCTGGTCTGTCCACACTCACACTCGCACTCCACAGTTAACATACAAACTATATCTTATTTTCATTTCCCTCGGATATTACACAATTACAGTGGACCCCCGGTTAACGAACTTTTTTCATTCCAGTAGTATGTTCAGGTGCCAGTACTGACCGAATTTTTTCCCATAAGGAATATTGTGAAGAAGATTAGTCCATTTCAGACCCCCAAACATACACGTACAAACGCACTTACATAAATACACTTACATAATTGGTCGCATTTGGAGGTGATCGTTAAGCAGGGGTCCACTGTACAGTGGTCCCTCACTTTTCATAGTTCTTGGCAATCATAGATTTTGGAAATCATAGGGGTATTTTCTTATAAACATGGACTCGCTTTTCATAGGTTGACTCATGAGTAGTAGTTCGTCCGGGACGCATACCCACGGCGTGAGCTGGGGCAGCAGCCAGTCTGGCATTGTTTACCAGTGAGCGAAGGTCCCCTCACGTGCTCCAGCGAAATATTTCATAATATTTCATTTATTTTAGTGCTTGCAAGTACTAAATAAGCTAT